TCTTTCTGGAATCCTTTCTGCCTCCTCTAAAAAATACTTCTTTGAATCTCATGCTGAGCTCCTCACAGACTTCAAGGTTATTACTTGTGAACTCCCTTCCTTCCTTCCTTACCCTAATTACCTGGTCTTTGCCTGTTGTTTTTCTTCCTGGTGGGAGTTGTTTCAACAGCTTCGGGCCGACCTTGGGTTTCGCTGCTATACATATTCGTATTGTCGTTGGGCCTCTCTCCTTACCTGTGGGATATTCATTTCTTGCTCTTTTGACTGTTCTCCTTGTTATTCTGGTCCTTTGCCTTTTGTACTTCTTCCATTCTTTAAACACACTTTGGTTTAACCTCTCTACACTTTTGGGTGAACCAAGGGCTCGTCCTGGCCTTCTCATTATGTCTGTTGCCCTTGGGTACAAACCTCTCCTCCGTGTGTGTGTGTGTACTCACCTAATTGTGGGTTTCAGGGTGAGTGTGTGTGTGTGTGTGTGGTAGTGTTAGTGAGTGTTAGTTGAAGTGATGAATATTGAAGTGATGTAAGTGGTCGTAGTGGGGAACGTAAAGGGGAGGATCTCCACTTAACTAACACTCTCCTGAGCGTAGCGTATAGTTTGCGTAGCGTAGCGTGAAGGCGGCAGCTACACGTTCATATATTAAAAATCAGTTTGGACAACTACGTCATTCTGGACAACTACATCAATCTAACACTACTTCAATCTGGACAACTCGACAATCTGGACATCTACATCAGTCGGACAACTACGTCACTCGGACAACAACGTCAGTCTGAACAACAACGTCAGTCTGGACAACAACGTCAGTCTGGAAAAACTACGTCAGTCTGGACAACAACGTCAGTCTGGACAACAACGCAGTCGGACAACAACGTCAGTCTGGACAACACGTTCAGTCTGGACAACAACGTCAGTCTGGACAACAACGTCAGTCTGGACAACAACGTCACTCTGGACAACAACGTCAGTCTGGACAACAACGTCAGTCTGGACAACAACGTCAGTCTGGACAACAAAAGTCAGTCTGGACAACTACGTCAGTCTGGACAACTACGTCACTCTGGACAACAACGTCAGTCTGGACAACAACGTCAGTCTGGGCAACAACGTCAGTCTGGACAACAACGTCACTCTGGACAACTACGTCCCGTCTGGACAAACTCGTCAGTCTGGGCAACAACGTCCGTCTGGACAACAACGTCACTCTGGACAACTACGTCAGTCTGGACAACTACGTCAGTCTGGACAACAACGTCAGTCTGGACAACAACGTCAGTCTGGACAACTACGTCAGTCTGGACAACTACGTCAGTCTGGACAAACAACGTCAGTTTTGGACAACAACGTCAGTCTGGACAACAACGTCGTCTGGAAAAACAACGTCAGTCTGGACAACTACGTCAGTCTGGACAACTACGTCACTCTGGACAACAGCGTCAGTCTGGACAACTACGTCAGTCTGGGCAACACAAACTACACAGAGTAAATTTTAAATGCGCTAGAAAAACTTTGACAATTTACCCAGACAATATAATTTACGGAGAGACTGGGTCGTTATTTCAGTCTTATTTAACTTAGTTTTTTTAAACTTGAAAAAAAACAGATTCCTCTGTATGGGTTTACAGTGAATACTGAATCTTTGTTTACAGTGAATACCGAGTATCTTTGTTTACAGTGAACACCGAGTATCTTTGTTACAGTGAACACCGAGTATTTTTTGTTTACAGTGAACACCGAGTATCTTTGTTTACAGTGAACACCGAGTATCTTTGTTTACAGTGAAAAACCGATATCTTTGGGTTTTCAGTGAACACCAAGTATCTTTGTTTACAGTGAACACCAAGTATATTTGTTTACAGTGAACACCGAGTATCTTTGTTTACAGTGAATACCGAGTATCTTTGTCTACAATGAACACCGAGTATCTTTGTTTACAGTGAACACCAGTACCTGTGGAAATATAACACAAATGCAGTATAATGTGGTCTTTATTGACTACGTTTCGCCCCACACAGTGGGCTTTTTCAAGTCACAAACAAACTACCTGGGGTGAAAAAAACGCGAGTATTTATAAGTCCCGGTTCAGAATGCTGAGGTCAGGTGAAGAATGTTGCATCTGATGATGTACCGAGTGGGGTTATAGAGTCTAAAAACTTGGGTAGCTTGGAAAGGAGATTGGACAAATTTGTGAGCAGACCTTCTACAGTGTTCTTATGTGGGATAGCGACGAAGAAGTTTCTTTGGGAAGTGGTTCAGCTATGTTATGAAGCCACTATTCTGGTTGAAGTTGTCGGATATAGAAATAAGTGATATTCCAGGATTCTTCGGGATTGAGTGTTGTCCCTTCTGTGGCGATAAGTCTTGAGTTTTTTGTAGTTTATCAAGTGGGTTTTGTGAATTACGGTGTTGTACGCAGGCATTCCTTGTGTTTGTCAGACCTGCTTGCGATTGGTGTTCTGAAATACGTGTTTGGAGGTCCCTTGATGTTTCGCCCACGTATAACTTTGTTGCAGTCATTACAGGGGATTATGTAAAACCCCTGCAGAGGTTTGGAGGCTTGTCCTGTCTACTACTGTGATGTCCTTGATGGTCTTTGGGTTTTGGAGGTAGATTTCTTTGGGAAAGATGTTTTGGCAAAGATTTTGGAAACATGTTTGGCAATGGAGTTGGTGGGAAGGACTATGTAACTCTTCTCGGCAGTGTCCTTCTCTGGGTGTGTTGAAGATGTTTAAATGCCCGCCGTCTGCAGTCTCTGATGAAGTGACGGGATAGGGAGTTTTGAAAATAT